CCTACGAATCGACGGAATACGCTACCCCGCTCGAAAACCTATTCTAGTGGCTATAGTGAAAGTGATCGTGAGAACCAACGGGCCAGTGTTTGTTCTATGCGTGAAGGAATCATTATTGATACCAGAAAAGCGGATGGTGTCAAGCACGCGTGGTAGGCCCTTACATACGGATCGGTTTGGTCACCAATTTGGGCTTGTCCTGCTTTGATCACAAATACTTAATGACTGACGAAACTTAAAATTGTAGATATCTATATTTATACCATTTGATGTTTCCTCTATTCCAGAAGGGCCGTTTTTAACTTTCCGACATGCGTCTAGATCAAAAAATTCTGGAGGTGTATTTCTCCGGGAGACAACTGCTCCCTGTGACTTGAGAATGTTGAGAATACCACAGCAACATTCTCTTCGTTCGATATATCTGGAAGCTTGATATTTGATTCTAGGATAAATATCTTATTGGGGTTGGTCGATGCGTTGGCCAGCTTCATTACTCAAGGACGCATTGCCTGCTTTAACAATGCGCCCTCAAACGCAAACTATCACAAATTATCAGACCCAAGAGCTTCGTGCCGGTAAAGATCTCATGTCTTGCAGAAATTGTTGAAGACTTCGAAGTTTCTTCCCGGTTTGCAGGAGTTGTGACTGCAATTCAGACGATTTGATTGACTGTTGCTGTTGTTATTGAGCCTCGAATCGGGTTAGATCAACCGCAACTCAATATCAATATTGCAGGACACAGACTCTCATTTTCAAGCACAGAGTTTTGACATTCACTCCTGTGATATCTATACCTATTTGCTGGTTTTCATTTCTTATTCCATTTACTGATGTCCCGTTATTCTGACTTCCCTGTCTTGAATAACTCACTGTATTGGACGTACTATTCCTTTCACTGCGCATAGTAGCAATTGCGTTCTAGGTTTCAGGCTTGGTTCAAGCTACAATCTTCCACCATGGAGCTCGATCGTTGGCAAATTTTATATATTGCTAGTTGCCTCCATGAGTTTCGTTGTATTCCCTTCGATTTCGGTTTCTGGCTTCATGCTTTCATCACTTCTTCTCAATTACTTATATGTCCGCCGTGATATCTACGCGCTTGATCCTCTCATCTTTCGTATCCTGATATTTCGTTCGCTGTCTCGAATTTCGTATCACCTTGTGAACCGTTAGAAGAGTCTCAAAATTACCCTTTCTGGCAGCTCCATTAATCTGGAGTCTGGGACGTTAACTGTCTTCTCAGCGGGTTTAACCCCTTGAGATATTTTCTTCGTCCATATAACCCACCACAATGGATCCACCTGGTGGCCCTTATTACAGATCAACTGCAGCCACTGTTTTGCCTACCACAGCCTTTCTGTCTGTCCTGGTGTGCATTCCTCCTCTGGTTTGGCACTCACGTACTGGGAATTTCCCTGCATCATGTCTCATCGCTTGGTTTGTCATCTTCAACTTCTTCAACTTTATCAACCCCTTAATATGGCCTACAGATGATGTTTCAACGTGGTGGGATGGTGCCGGGCTTTGCGATATCGAAACAAAGCTCATCGCTCCTCTCGGAACCGGTATCGCAGGAGCTCTCGTATGTATATTCCGCTCACTTGCAGATGTCATGGACACAGATCGTGCCACCCTGATCCCAAGCAAGGGGGAGCGGAGACGTACCCTTGCGTTTGAAGTTGTTTTTTGTGTGGTCATCCCTGTCCTTATGATGGCTTTGCATTACGTTGTCCAGCACCGTCGATATTACATATGGGCAATTGTAGGCTGTATGCCTGCGTTCCACCCAAGCTGGCCCTCGACAGCCCTTATCTTCGCATGGCCATTGGCTGTTTTGTTCCTGGCTACAATCTACTGTGGTAAGCTCTTTTCCACCCCGGGGCTATTTTCATTGTGTTCGATGCTAATCTGTCTAATCTTTTAGTATTGGTTATATACCGATTGTTCAAGTATCGACAACAATTTTCCTACATTGTTTCCATAAGCAGCAACACAAGCAAGTCGAGATTTATCCGTCTCCTTACTCTATCCCTGATACTACTTCTGGGCAGCTTTCCTTCACAAGTTTATGTGTTCTACCGCAATATCGAAATGTCAAAGCCTTGGGTGCCTTACTCGTGGAAGGACGTTCACGGGCCGGAATGGGGAGTCATTGTGAAAGTTCCCATGCATGGCATAGTCTATTATGATCGCTGGATCCAAGTGACTTGTGGCTTCCTACTATTCGCATTTTTTGGATTCGGAAAGGATGCGACAATAATGTACCGAGCATTCCTTATCCGAGTCGGTTTGAGTCGATATTTCCCATCCTTGGAGCACCCTCATATCGCCATTAGCAAAGCGTCAGATTCAACTCGCTTTGGGTCCTTTGGTAGCCGCGCCAAGACGGCTTTGAAGAAGAAACAATCCATGGATGAATATTCCCCGACTCTATGGTAAATAACCGTTTTCTATATGTGCTACTATATTTTGCGCGCCATGCATCTTGAAAACTGACATTGGCTAATAATCCTTTCCCAGGAGCGTACGGTCTAATTCTGAGTCCACAAACACAACGATAATTGACCATGACCACCATTTCTCCAGCTTGGCTATAATAAATAAGCCTCTGCCTCCAGCACCCCACCCACTCAACTCAAATAGTCGTGTCCTCTCTCTAGGTTAGGCTCCGGTATCAGAAATAGATTTTGATAGCGATACTAGAATCCATGAGAAAACCGCGCATTTTACGAAAGTCTAAAGTACATCTCGCGGGTTCGATGGCGTACTCACTATGCCGCGAGGGTCAATCGGTCTGTTGACACTCTATTTTGCGTGTGCATTTGTTGCCGTCTCTCTTCCTCTTCTTCTAGCTCAAACCCCATGTCGCAAATATGTCTTTACCTCTGCGAAACCCCCTTTGTTCCCTATTTACGCTTGCCGAGACACAAGCACTGCACATGACTCTTTGCCATCTTTCTTTGAATAAATTGCGATATGCGAGTTTCTTCTATTTCTCTCTCTATATTTCTCAAATCTTTTAATTACTTTTTCTCAATATGCCAGATGATAACTGGAGGGGGAGGCGATGCATTATTTGGTCGTTAGTAGGGCCTAGTTTTGTCGCTGATTTACCTGACTCTTACCTCTGTTATTTACAATCCACGCCTTGCGTGACACATGTAATAAATATCAAACAGGAAATATGCCTGAAAATTAATAAATACATAAATCACGTTGATTTGCCTTGTTTGTTTTATTTTGCCCTTCATTGCTTTTTAGCAACAAACATAAAATGTAAATATGTGAAAATCGGACTACAGTGGCTTTGACCAATAATTAATATAGACTTGGCCAATGGAAGACGGAAAAGGTCATCCAAAACCCATTCATACAAACATGAAGATTGAGTAAAACAGGCAACAGATATAACTGGTCCTGGGTGAGGGTGTCGCCAACTCAACTAGATGTCACTTCGCTAAATACCCTTTATGTTCACCCGTGCAGCAATAACATACAAGACAACAAATGGAGGAGAGTATCAGACACAAAAGAAACATTCGGAAGCTGGTTTAATCACATATACAGCCGCCCAATTAGAGTACACGTACATAATTCATACCCTTACATACTGGTAATAGCCAAGCCCACATGTAGGCTTTCTCAGTTCCCATCCTTATACGCCCAGAAGAGATATTGCACGTAGTCAAATAAGAGTGTCGCTCGTCTGCCGGCACGCGAAGCTCCTCTATCATAGCTTTCTTCTCACTTACTCGCTGCTTTCACTGTTTCCGCGCCTAAGGACTTCGTAGTACCCTATTGTTGTAAAAAAAAAGGGGGGGGGGGGGGGTTTGATTAGTTACTTTATAGGTAAGACGTGAAATGGAAGGTGGGAGAGAAGTGAAAAGCGGCATATAAGGAATGAAGGCGAAACAGTATGAGAAGGGATAACGAACGTTGGGTGATACCGAGAGCGGAATTTTTCTTTCCATCCGCGTCCTCATAGGAGCGCATACTTGCATCTCCTTCTACGTACATGAGGGTGCTGTCACAGAGAATCAGACATAGTTAGCTATGAATTTCACTATTATCTATCCAGCTCCAAACAGGCTCCTCCGGTATAATTAAGATACAGGGGTATATCTCCGCCCCGAGAAGGCCGTTGTTCTATATGCATATACATATATGAATGGCACACGATTGACATACCCTTTTGGCAGGCCTAGTAAGTGATCTCTGCTGGCACCCTCAGGCACGAAGCTTGTGATGCGCCACCAGCTCGTCTGGCGATCTTCCTTGGGTCCGTAGCTGGTTGCTACCGAATAGTTCACGAGCTCACGACCGGATGAGGTGGCACGAATTTCTGGCGGGTTTCCGAGGTTACCGACAATGCTAATGCGTGCGAGGGAATTGGCGCGGGTAGAGCTGAAGTTGCGTGTCGAGAGGGATGATGTCGGGGCGCGGAGAAGTGGACGGAGGGGGATTAGACCTTGCATTTTTGAATTGCAGGATGATGGAAATAACAATCGGAGACGGTATAGCTGGCAGGGAACTTAATATGGGGTTCAATGTCAGGGATTGAGATTTGTTGGACGTTGGCCTTGTGCCAGATTCAAGAGAGCTCCGTCGCGAGATAAAAATGCCCAAAGCCGAAAGGTTGTCACGAAACGCGTGGCACGTGATATTAAGGAGAATTGATAGGTCATGTGATCTTCTATCTCTTTTCAGGAAAATTGAAACTCAGAACGCAAGCAAGCAACGTGGAGCGTATTCCCCACGTCAAAATGATATCTTACAGCGTGCTTCTGCTAACAGAGTATATATTTCATCTTTTGTGCGATCTATATTATGCCGAAATTGGAGCTGCCTACTCTCCCACCAGCCGTTTTTGGTCTATCCCGATGAACAGATCGGACCACCGCGGAATGCAGAGGGGCCAATTTTTAACATACATATCTAATAACGCAAATAGATAAATTATAGCACTTGGATAAGATATATCCCCCTGCTGGGATTTGTCTCCGATTCTT